TAAAGTTCCAGATTATCAATGGATTGTTTCTGCATCATCTCTGAGATTAAAGGTCTCCTATCATGCAAAAGTCACTTTCTGATGTCTTTTCTACATCACCATGTGTCCCTGGTGTGTCCCTATGTGTCCCCGGTGTGTCCCCGGTGTGTCCCCGGTGTATCACCATGTGTCCCTGGTGTCCCCCCGGTGTGTCCCCGGTGTCAGGAGACTCACAAAGTGTCAGGAAACAAAACCCTCTCTCTTTTCCTCCGTACCCACATCTCTAAAAACGGGAGAACAACGGAGCTGATCCAGATTTGCTGCGTCATGAGGGCATTACTAAATTGTGGGCGGGCTTTACACCAACGGGCCAATCAGAAACGTTGCTGTCAGAAACAATGAGACGTGTTCTGGAAGTAATATGGTCTGTGTTTACATTAGCATGCTAACACTCAGAGCTAACCTGTACTGGAGAGAGCATGTGTGAAGAAGCAGGAAATAAAAAGGAACTCACCTTGTGGTAAACCTGAGAGAGAAAGAGTTTGAGCTCCATGCTGTTTCAGAGAGAATCCTTGATGTGGTTTGGAACATAATATGGAGTTTCATCACGGCAGCATTTAGCTGAGTTTCTGCTGGTAGAATTCTGAGCAGGCATTAGCTCCACCGCCTTTTTTTTTTTTTCAAGCTAAGGACCCGAACCTGCTCTTCTCTAACAGCTGAAACAGAGGGATATGAGGGATTTCTAAAATGCATGATCTGTTTGGTATTTGGAGCAAAACACATCATAGACATGCTTTTATATATTTGTGTAAATCTGAGACCCATAATATATGCCTAAAGATAGCATGATAGCAGACCTTTAAAACCCTGTTTAACTCTGAACAGATTATTAAACCTGGAGTTATTTCAAACAGGAACTTTGTTTTCTAAAGTTACATCATGTTTTCTTTATTCAGACTGTGGGGCTGCTGGTTGTCAGAGATCAGATGTTCAGCTCTGGCCTCAGCTCTGAAGTCCAACATCCATCTGAGATATCTGAACCTGGGTGCCAACGATCTGCAGGATTCAGGAGTGGAGCTGCTGAGAGATCTTCTGGAGACTCCAGACTGCAGACTGGAGACCCTCAGGTCAGTTCACTGACTCTCTGTTACTGCTGGAGATCTCATGTTTCATTAGTTATTCAACCTGATTCTTCTACGTAATTAACTTACATCTATAAAGTTGTAAATGTTCTTTTATTCATACTTTCATTTGTAGGTACTAAAGTAAGAACTGCAGAGATAAATGTTGACTGATTCTTAAAGGAACTGTAATAGATGTTAGTTGTTAAAAGTAAATCTATGTTTTTAATATTTAGTAAAGATAACGTCTGAATAAAGTTCATCTGAAGTAATATTAGTTTTACAGGATAAAGTTGACTTTCTGAAGAAGACATGTTTTTGTTCCAATTCATTTCAATGTTGAGTAACACATCTGATTATAAACTGATTTGTATCCTCATCATGTTTTCTTTATTCAGACTGAGGGGCTGCGGTTTGTCAGAGATCAGCTGTTCTGCTCTGGCCTCAGCTCTGAAGTCCAACATCCATCTGAGAGAGCTGGACCTGAGTCTCAACTATCTGAAGGATTCAGATGGGAAGCTGCTGAGAGATCTTCTGGAGAGTCCAGACTGCAGACTGGAGACCCTCAGGTCAGTAAGGGGTCTCTGCTGGTTCAGCAGTATTGTATGAACCACAGGGAGGTGTTTCTCTAGCTGGGGAAACAGATCAGTGATGTTACCCACTGACTGCAGGCTCTTTCATTCTTCCATCAACTATAGAAGGCCAGCTGAACATGCAAAGCCACACTTTAGTAATCCACTCTCTAACAGACATATGGGGTTTTACAGAAGAGTGGGAAAGGTAGTCTGTTCTTATGGGATGTTTTTAGTTTCTAGCCCAGGGGTGTCCAAACTGCGGCCCGGGGGCCAAATGCGGCCCTCAGCAAATTCTGAAAGTATAATGGAATATGGCCCACAAAGGAAACTTCTGCTTGTCTTGTATTGTACTTCTTAAATATATATGTACACATATATTACACAGTAGTATTCATGTGTTAATAATCCCACCTTTAAAATAAATTCAGTCAATTAAAGCTGAAAACATTTCCTAACAAATCTAACTTGATAAGAAAAAAGCCCAATAACTTATTTTTATAACAAGCGTGAAATAAACCCTTCATATTTCCTGTAATTATAATCAATCTGAAGATCCTGCTTTAAGGAATGAGCTGCTAACAGAATAAAGTAAACCCTCTGGAGAGCTGAGAGCTGTTTTGTTTCTTAAAGCATCCTCAAGTAACAAGCATCCTTTACCTTCATTTGATTGAGTTTCCTGACTTATAACTTAACATATGAGGCAGTAAACCTCTAGAGAGCGGCCCAGACCTTTATATATTTTTTCTGTATGTGGCCCTCGGTGAAAAAGGTTTGGACCCCCCCTGTTCTAGACCAATGAGTGGTTACTTCCTGTCATGCAGCTGAGAGCTGTGGCAGGCAGTCGTAGTGTTTGCAGACAAGATATGATGGGATGTAAAGCATGAGATCAGGACTCTGAAGCTGACTCAAAGAACAAACACTTATTTTAAACTGGATCTTAAACTGTTGGATTGTGTTCATCCCTACAGGATCAATGATGAGTGGATCAGAGCCACGATCCAGAAGACCTGTGAGTACTGAAACCATATCCTCCATTCATCAAGATAGTAAACTCTTTAATGGAGCGTGACCTCAGAGGAAAACAACACTCTTCTTTCTCTCTTCATCATTCTGTCTGTTTCTCTTTGTTTTATCATCATCATGATTCTCTCTCTCTCTCCTTCTCCTCTCAGGTGACAGGAAGTGAAGACACACAGAAAGGTGAGAGGTCGTACCGTGTGAAGTTTATTTATTCAGGTTTCAACACGTTTTCCTGGTGTTCCAGACAAATCTGTAAGTTCAGGTTTTATTTGTTCTCAGTTTATTTATCACGGGGCGAGTTTGAGACGTAAAGAGGAGCGTGGAGGCATTTTGGAAAATAAAGAAGAAGGCTGCCGCTGATGAGAGACTTCCTGTTAGCTCTCCTCAATATTAAATGAACAAAAACAGTCAATTGTACTTAAAGCTTTTCTTAAGAAGAAAGATGTGTTGCACATACACCTGCTGCTACCTACCACCACCTCCCACCCATCCCGGCACCAAAGAGGAGACTCCATCGACCCCAGATACCCCAACTCACTCTTCTTCAGGTTAGCTTGGAGCCCCGCCTTTACCTGCCCCAACACCTCACTTTGAACGATGTTGTCATCCGGATATCTGCATACTGAGAGTGGGACGCAGGATCCGGTCAATGAGCTGCTGGAAGGGGGTCCACTGGACTGGAGGGGCGCTTGGATCTGGTGATGCCTTGCTCTTCCTGAAAGGGGAGGACTCCTATCTGCCATAGTTTCTCCACCTGACGACTGAGTTCGGCATCGGGGGTTCCAGTTGGGGTGAAGAGACTCTGGGGGGCATCCGATGGCTCCTGAATAGGGGGGGCCCTTGGAGTGTCCAACCTAATGATAATAAGAAGAATAATAATAATGCATTTTATTTGTAAAGCACCTTTCATTGCTAAAAGTCATCTCAAAGTGCTACAAGGGGCATCATATACTTATTTTATTTTTTTTAAAGAAACACAAGTTTAATAAAAGGCTTTTAAAAAAGAAAGGTTTTTAGGCCCTTCTTAAAGGAGTCAGTGGTCTGTGGAGTCCTCAGTTTGTCTGGGAGGGAATTCCACAGGTGAACAGAAAGCCCCCCCATGGTGCTGTTGAGATCTCCATATTAGGATGAATACTTAAAACGAAAGTTAGTTATAATCAAATATAATCAATTATATTCTTGTATAGCCCACAATGAAAATGCTTCATATTTTATGATTTTCTATATTTACAGTATAAAGAAAGTGGTTTGTTAAGTTGAGTGTAAGGCCTATAATGGTTTATGGCTGTCACTGATAAGAGAAGAGAGACAGTTTCTTCCCTCTCCCCTCACAGCAGTACACAGGGAGGGGGGCTCCTGACTTAAGGAGAAATACATTGAGGCCCCAAAAAGGTGGTTATGTCATAGCCGAGAATAATATTTTGCAAGTCCTGCGGAGTAGGGGTCATGTCCTTTTTACACAAACATGGGAAGGTGTGTCTTATGCCATAGCCATATAATATGTCTAGTCCTGTACATCAGAGGCCATGCCCAGTTTCCACAAATATGGGTATGGAGGAGGTGTCTTTGGGTTTTTCTATCCTGTTTTTTAGGAGAGAGAGAGAGAGAGAGAGAGAGAGAGGTGGGTATACTCTCTCCCGGTAAAGCTCTCTCCCTGGAGAGCTGGGTTTTTGCTCTCGGTAAGGTTCTCTCAAACTTGGTAACTATTGGTTGAATCTCTGTGTATTGAATGCTGAGTAAATGGATGGATGAAAGTTTTAAAACTTAGGATTTCTAACTGATCATTCTGAGGAGCAAAACCTCTTAAATGTGTCAGGCCATAGTGTGTGAATGTTAGCACCTTCGATCCACGAGGAGATCCCTCTGGGTTCTGTCGAATTTCCAACTTATCATTTAAAGGGGATTTCTAACTGATCATTCTGAGGAGCAAACCTCTTAAATGTGTCAGGCTATAGGCTGTGAATGTTAGAACCTTCGATCCACGAGGAGATCCCTCTGGGTTATGTCGGAATTCAATCTGAACATTTTGAGGAACTGACCTCTTACATGTGTCAGGCCATAGTGTGTGGATGTTAACCCCGTCGGTCTGTGAGGAAATTCGTTTTGGATTTTGTCGGAAGACTTTAATGGGTGAACTATGAATTAAGGTTTTAGATTAGAAAATAACCCCAGCATGATATGTTTAGTATGATTATAATGTTGTAACGAGAGAAGGTAAAAACCCTGTATAAGTTTGCACCTATTTTTCTTCAAATAAACTGATCCCACCTTTTGGATTGGGACAACTTAAAAGACATCAGCGCTCTCCTCTCCTGCTTCAAAGGTACGATTGCACCCTGCCACACTCACACTTAGGTAGGGCCACACCTCATTTACTGATATCAAAATCCTTCGGGATCGCTTAAACAGATTAAGAGGGTCGTCTGAATTGAAACAGCAGTTAATTGAACCTGGTTCTTCGGGGAGTTAATAGAGGTGAGATCTTGCTGACATTGGTGGATCTGAGCCAAGCAGCAAACTTACATAGACTCAATAACTTCGGTTAGGTTAATTAGTAGGTCTGAGTAATTTGCCGGAATAAATGATCAGTCCTCCGACTCAGACAGTGCGGAGTTTGGTCCTGGGGGGGAAAGCAGATGGTTTGTTGTAGAATGGAGGTTGCGTGTGGAGGTTTGTGAGGAGAGTAGTTCTGAGGTATGAAGGAGCGTTCCCGTGGATGCACTGATGGGTGAGGAGTGAGATCTTGTATTTGAACCTAGCTGGAGGGCTATTGGTGCCCCCTGTGGACCGAAAGAAACTCTTTTGGTTGGGGTAATGAGGTGGAAGTTATCTGCACCTATTAGTAGGAGAGGCTGCACTTTGGAAAAGAGGGAAGGGGAAGGCCTTGAAGGCGGAGATAGTGTTTCTTGAGTTCATCCACAGGATAACTCTAGTCCACAAGTGAAAGTCTGTCGGAGGTGAATGTGTCTTTGAGGAGGAATGTTTTCTTGGGATTGAAAGAGGGTTATATCTCAAAGGTCACTGAGGCTCCATCCATATGATATGTTTTATAATGATTGATCATTAAAGTGTTCTCAAAGCTGGTAAAGGTGCAGCTAGTTTGAATGACTTTGTATACTGCAGGGTAGCTTGTGAATTTACTCCAGGTGGAACTAAAGTCTGATTTAACACTTGATTATATTTCACATCATTCATCCAGATCTGTAAAGTAACTAAAGGGAAATACATGTAGTGGAGTCAAAGTACACCTTTACCTCTGAATTGTAGTGGAGTAGAAGTAGTACACAGTTTCATAAAAAGAAAACTAAGCTTCATCTCCAAGCCCAATGGCCTTGGAAGAGCTGCTAAGGAAAAGGAAAGACATCTGGAGACTTTGGAGAGACAGCTAACTGACAAACTCAAGGAACTGAAAGACACTCCCTGATAGGCCGTATGCTGTTTAGCCTTACCTTGAATGATTCAGTGCAGTGTTCTGTGCAGGTTTTCTGTTTGCTTTTTCAACTCAAGGAGCTAAAAGACTGATTGAAAGTTGATTTGATTTGCATAATTTCTGATTGCTGATTCAATGTGAAGGAAAATTCACATTTTAGTTTATACAGTATATGTGTGCATATAATGCACCCTTTGGCCTAACCTGGGAGAGCCTTATGTTTACTGCCAACCTAAGGACCTCCAACATGTTAATAAAGAATGTATTGAAAAGTTATATCGCGGATTGTTGTATATTGGCTCAGCCAGGTTATAGAGAACCGCAGTGACGCGTCCTAAAACCCGGAAGTAAACTTCTTCCGGTTCCTTCGACAAAAACACAATGCAATTTCTCCATAGGATTTAGGAAAACAGCTCGAAATAAGGTCTGTGGTGGTTGAGACACATTGAAGAGACGGATCACGTTTTGTTCAGCCGGATAATATCCACATATCTACCCTACTTTTATAATGTTCTAATCATAAATCTAATGGATAGATTTATGATCGATAGATTTATGATTAGAAAATTATAAGAGATGTGGATATTATCCGGCTGAACAAAACGTGATCCGTCTCTTAAATGTGTCTCAACCACCACAGACCTTATTTCCAGCTATTTTCCAAAATCCTATGGAGAAATTGCATTGCGTTTTTGTCGAAGGAACCGGAAGAGGTTTACTTCCGGGTTTTAGGACGCGTCACTGCGGTTCTCTATATGGGATGCCCAGTCTACTTACAGATGGGTCACTCATTTTGAAATATTACACTTTGTTTTATTTTTCTTTACTGTAATTGATCATCCTCATGTAGAATGCTATCACGAAACACACATTTGGTCGTTTATAGCATAAAGAACATCTGATTTAATGGGAGGTAGGGAAATAATCATTTGAGGATAAGTATGTGTATATAAATATGTAATTTACAACAGCTGTAAGATGCTTGATAAGCTTGAAATGCACCTTGAAAATGCTTGAATTTGACTTTGGAAAAGGTGTAAGAACCCTGGATCCTCTAAAGCAGTGCTTCTCAAAGTGTGGTCCGCGGAACACTGGTGGTCCGTGCGCGCCCCCTAGTGGTCCGTGAGTATATTGGTAACATTTCACATTTGAAATAAATAAATGTAAGTTTTCCGCACTCTCGCAGGAATATCTCCGCAATGGAGCGAGCTTAAGTTTCATTTCATGATATAGCCCCGCGCAACACCTTCATCACACATGTTGCCACTTGTTAGTACCATTTTCAGGCGATTTGTAATCTGTTCTAGAAAAACGATGTGATTTTGGATATTTGTGGAGTTAGGTGGTCCGCGAGCGTTTTTGTATTGGTTAAGTGGTCCTTGGTATGAAAAAGTTTGAGAAACACTGCTCTAAAGAAACAGCATATTTAGTAAATAAAACAACAACAGTCAAACGGCTATCTAACTGTTGTTCCTAACGTTGCCTTGGTAACCTACAAGCTAAACTGGCTCTGAATCTGATAAAACGTGGGTTCCATCTGTTATAAAGTACACACCATTTTTTTTTTTCTGCGCTGTAATTCGAACATTGCGGGATGCTTTTCTGTATTGTTTGACTTGTCATGATCAAAACATTCAGGTCTTAACATAATGATAATATCAAATGTGGCCTTCAATTTGAAAAAACAAAACATTTGCTTTCTCAAAATTCCCCGTGTATTTATTGCTTTTCTTAAAGCCATGAAATTAGACATAGAATTAATTAAATTGTGCAAAAGAAAAAAAGCCCAACAATTTGACACATTTCTAAACATCTGACCACTCTCACTGTCATGGTATTGAGAACACACAACCATTATGCAAAAACGACCCAATCATTTTGTATGCAATTGGAACAGATGATCTGCTTTTACCTTAACCTTTGTATCATCCAACATCATAACACTACTTTTTTGTGCAATCTGAGTAAACGATACACCCGTCTTGCATCAGTGAAACCAATCATACAGAATATATTGTCCGTCCATCCATCCATCCATCCATCCATCCACATTAGTATAACAGCACCATGAATGACAGACTGAAAAAGGTTGTTTATTTGAGCAAGAACAGGTGCAGACATTTTGCAGAGGACTTTAAAAATAGAAAATGTATAAGAATAGAGTTAAAAATCAAGTATTCAGTGTTAGATTCAGGTCCCAGAGTAGTGTCTCTTTTCTAAAAGTCTCTGCTTCAATGTGTCCTCTCTATACCCAGGATATTTTGGGTCTCACGTGTGACCTGCTCGATGAAGTTCTGGGATTATTTTCAGGAACATTTCTGCTCCGTTTCTCCTCTCCTGATCTCTGCGGTGAGGTTTGACTCTGAGGATTTACATTTGATTTAAGAACTGATTTAGACCTGCTGTTTTCTGATGATACATGTGAACGTCCGGATGATTTGACTGAGGATTGTTTATCATGACCTGCTGATGAGTTTGGATTGTAACTTGTGTTATAATGTGACGTTGATGGCAGCTGCTCTGAGTCCTCTTTCAGGTCTGGTGGTGATGAGGCTTCAGGGCTGGAGGAAAAATAATATAATTAATATAGCTGCAATAGGATAAAACATATTTATATTTATACGAAAAAAATATATACACCATTAAATAAATACATAACTGATGCTTAATCATTCAGACCAAGTATTGGAGGTGTAATGATGCCCCCTATTTGCCGCGAGCATGTTGCCAGGGACTACACATCACACTTTAAAGGTCACTTATTATGCAAAATCCACTTCTTCATGTCTTTTTTTATACATAAACATGTAACACCTCAGCCTCAGGAACAAAGACCCCCTCTCTTTTTGTCCTGATCCATTTATATAAAACCCTGTCTGAAAATGAGAGGATCAGATTTAGGCCACATTGTGATGTCACAATGTTTTTTTGGTTTGTGGCTCCGTCTCCTGGGAGGATCGTTTACTCAAACATCAACTTACTGATCTGTGGTCAGTTGTTCCTGCAGACACTTCCTCTCATTGATGGGGTACGAGTGGAAGAAGAACATCCCGATCAGCAGCAGAGCGACGGGCACCGGGGAGAACATCACGGTGAGAGCCGTCGCCACTCCCCCCTCATGATGACACGCACCCGCTCTGTAACCCACAAACCTGCAGACCAGGGGGAACAGGGATGTGACAAATGTACACACATAATATATGAATAATTGGAGGGTGGATAAAATATTATTTTGGATGTTTTTTTTTATATATTTTGTATTTTAATTTAATATTATTATTTTAATAATTTTTTTATATGAAGACTATATGTTTTTTTTTTATTGAATTTAATCTGAATTGTTTTAATATTTATTTAAGTAGAATCTTTTTTTTTTTTAGACTAAATGGTTTTTATTTTATTAAAATGTAATTTAATTAATTTCTGTAATATTTATAATTTTAACTTACTTAAAAAAAATGATACTTTTCGTCTTTCATTCATGTTAATATTTTAATCTGGATTCAAGATTCCTCTGTTTTGTTTTGCTTACTGTATACTGCCTGCAAAGTCATTCGTTTGGTGTTTTGAGCATGTATGGGACAAACAAAGTCAATAAATACTAAAAAGCCTCACTGTAATATCAGGGTGGAGATGCCCACAGACAGGCCTCCTGCCAGCTTACTGCAGAAAGCATAACAGGAGAAGAACAGCGGCTCCAGGTCTCTGCAGGACGGGTGTTTCACAGAGAAGTCATCCACCACATCTGGGAGCATCGACCTGCAGCAGGGCATGGTGCAGAGACACTCACAGTCACCACAAAATACACCCATAGATGC